AGACTTTCCAAAAGGAAAATACACATATACGAGCTCTAGATAGCAAAGATAATTATATTTCATTAAATGATAAATACCATTCTGTAGCGAGCTAGATTATGCAAACTGATTTCATATATACTATAATTTATTTAATCCTTAATAAATCTGTGAAGTAAACAGAATAGATAGTAGTACTATAGCCACTTTAAAGATATGATTTTGTCTTGGTTGGGGGGGTGGGGAGGAGTCAGTAAAAGCCCTAAGCTAAAGGTCAGAACTGGAAGGCAGTTACACTTCTACTGCTCATAAATTACACTATCTTACACAAAGACATGAAGGGATAACTGGAATCCTACTTAATACAGACAAAACAATACTGTTGAATTATTACCTTTGGGAAGTCTTCTATATTCTCATACTGAGATCTTAAGACTGGGCTAGGGATTTGTACTACAGGTTGTTCTGGAATCCATCATGTCTCTTTACCCTCTATATAATGCCTTTTTGAAGAACTGTGGTTAAGAGCCTCCCTGGTGGCACAAGGATTAAAGACACAGTGCTATCAAACTTTCACCAGCCACTGCACCACCAGTTTGATACCCTGCCAGGGAGATGACCCACATGGCACAGCAGACCTCCAGCAGTGAATTTCAGTTAATCTGTCTGTTCTGTGCCCTACTCTGTCTCTGGTGAATACTCTCAATAGTGTCTGCCTCCCTACCACCACCTCTGGCTTATACCCTAGCTCTTGTAGTCATAAATATCTTTAAAAAATAAATTAAAAATAAAAAATTGTGCTAAAAGAACCCAAATAGCATAAAATCTTCTACTTTATCCATTTCTAAGTTAGAAATCCACTTCTAAGTTATACTCAGAAGTTCTAAGTGTATTCACATTGTTGTACACCAACTAATATCTTATTTCTCGCCTATTTTTTCCTGTTAGCTTATAAATTCTTATTTTATTAAAAAAAGATTTATTTGGCACATGGGTAACTTGGTGATGGGAAACCCATAGGGATTACAATTGAGTACAAAATGATATAAAAATAAACTTATATTATAAAAAAAAGATTTATTTATGCATATGGAACTGGGGTAGAGGCAAGAGGTGCAGGGGAGCAGAACAGGCAGATCAAGGAAGTACACTGCCTAGGGGGGCAGCCGGTGGGTCAGGAGAGATCTGCCGTACCATGTGGGTAACCTCTGGGGCCGGGGATCAAACTCACACTGAAGTGGCTATAGCTGTCTTGTAGCGCCTGCATTTTAACCTGGTATGCCACCAGGGAAAGCCGAGCTTATAAATTCTTAACAGTAATAATGGTACTATTTGTTGCTCTATTTTTAGTGGCTAGAAGAGAAGATAGGTAGAATATTCTCAGCAGTACCTACTGAATGGATGTCTACTCTATGTATCCACACTAACCCTCCTCAATTAAGAAATGTTTACACAGGTGTATATATGTAGGCTAACTTTTTTATTTTTTACTGATTTTATAGACTGACCAATTAGGGGCTTATGGTAGATATTCCATATAAAAAGTTGGATAAGAATTATCTACAGTTTCAAAATTCCCCCCCCAATACATTTAATTAATGATAAAGGTATTTCATAAAAAAACACTACATTGGCAAACATGTACTGAAATTAACATTATTTTTATTTTTTTTAACTGTTTCTGATGATGGGCTAAACAGTTTCTAAAATTAAATCTTGGTCTTACTCAAAATTTCTGAGAAAGAAAGAAAGAAAGTAAAAGAGCTCTAATCATCAGTAAAGTGCCTTTTCATTCAGCTGATGCTCAATTCTTTATTTAGCTTATTTTTTACTCGCTGCTCTCAACAACAAAAAAACTTGATAAATCACTAAAATTATTGAGTACTATATCACTATATATTTTTATATATAAAAAAGACTGACTCATGAATTAAGCTCAGTGAGCAAGCTGTATTACTTAAACAAAAAGTGAAATGTATTTCTAATTCATACCTGTAACAGGGTGGTCCCTAGGAAAAAGGGAAGTTCCAGGTTCCCTGCCCTACCCAGGGGCAGGAGGGTGGAGCTGAGCCGAGAAAAAGGAGAAGAGAGAAGAGAAGGAAGTTGGATGGAGAGCCAGGAGACCAGAGGAAGCCTCATGGAGCAGCAAGCATGTGAGGAAGAAACCGTGCTTGTTTCCTGACCCTGGACTGGTGAAGGCAGATATGGGTGAGATACCTGGAAGCAGGTGACTATGGCAGTGTTTATATTGATTTTGATTTGCTCTTTTTCTCCCAGATTTGTCTGGCCATGTCTGACCCTTTTCCATGGGTCCCAGCCAGAAGGTGCTTTAGTCTTGTGGCAGGCTTTCAGGCCTTGCTTTGGGCCAATCCCTTTTGGGTTGACTTTTGCCCACGAGGGGATTGGTCACTTCAGGTGTCTGATTTAGAAGTTATATTCTTTGTGTTCCGTATTGTATATTCACTGTATTAAAGTCCCTTTTCATTAAAGTTTTATATATGTTTTGTCTTCTTGCGGCGGATGGCAGAACCCACTTAGAGCAGGCAGGATTTTGGGGCTTCAGGGGTGTCCCTCTCCCCCTGTTCTGGAACAGATTTGGGGTGCCCTATAACATACCTACCCCATGAGTTCCCCTTTATCAAAGGAAATTATACGGGTTTCTTTTAAAAATAGATAGACTGCATTATGTGATCTTGCAATTTTTTGTCCAAAAAATTGTGTGATGCTACAACAAAGCTTTCATTTTCATGGATATACCTATGTTAGTAAGTTTTCTCAGTTTACTTATTTAAAAACTGAAAAACTGAATTATAATAAACATGAACTTATCACAACTTGTAATGCTATTTTGATGAGTTAAAAATAATAATCAGGGTAACAACAATTACAACACAGGAAGAAAAAATTAATCTCAGTATCTTCTAGTAACAGAAGTTAGTAATTTATATATGTATTAGACAAGCCATTAAAACAAAAGCATATTGCATAAAAATAAAGTTCAGTGGATCGGAGACATAAAATTTCTACTGTAGGATTGCTTTACTTTAAAAATATAAATTATGGAAATAACCTAAGTGTCCCAAAACTTCCTGCATAGATCAGAAAGATGTGACATATATATACACAATGAAATACTACTCAGCTATAAAAATACTTTTCTGCCATCTGTGACAGTGTGAATGGAACTGGAGGAGATATGTTAAGCAAAATCAATCAAATGCAAAACAAATAACAGATTATGTCACTTATTGATATATGTAGAATCCAGAGAAACACATGGTCAAAGAAAACCAAATCAATAACGAACTCTAGAAATCTGATGTAGAACTGAGGTTGCCAGAGGGGGAGGTGGAGACTACAAAAGGGGGAAAGGGAGCACAATGGATGGAGGATGTCTGGTGGTGGGTGTGGTGTGGTAACAGCACTTGAAGGAGGCATTCTTTACCTCTAAATTACAAACAGTGTTGTAAATCAATATTGCCTTGACTTAAAAAGAATTATATGCATATATTTAAAAGAAACATTTAGTAGTTTTATTTTAATGTGTGGATATTTTATATGAGACTGCAATTTTTGTAATTTAAATTTCAGATAAAAAATTCATCTACACATTTAAAAATGTCTGAGAAATAATATAGCTTTAATAATAGTTTAATACACATTAAAAAATTATTTAAAGGGGTACATGAGCGAAAAGAAAAATGTCTGAGGGTCAAACCCAAACCTTTGCTTCTAATTCTAAATGCTTAGATTTGGAGTATGTGGAAATTACAGAATTTAGATTTTCAGCTTCTACCAAGTGGTATCAGTATAATTAAAAATAGGTTATGCCTTAAAATAATTAACCAAAATGACAGTGCTCATATTTACTGAGGGTAGGAGAAAAGTAAAAGAGTTCTCAAGTCAAAAGGTACCATGCATTAAATAAAGTGTCTGTTTTATAAATTTTCTAGTAACAACCTTCTGAATCACAAGGCATGCCAGAACTAAGTAATTCATTCCTTAGCAAGTGTTATTATACGAGTTTTGAGGTATGTAACTAAAATTATGTATTTTAACAAATGTTCCTATAGTACAATTATTGACTATATTACCAATACTACTGTATTTGAAGAATCTATGGCAAAAAAATAAGTGTTATAGAAAGTGTACCGCTGAATCAATTGCAACAAATCTTATGAAAAACCCATGATGCCCAATTTTTCAAACCCATCACACACTTTAGATATGTAACAATTTGAGAGCATTATAAATAAGACACCCACATTACAGCACCTCAATTTAAAAAAACTGACAAATTTTTATCAAGATACTTAAAAATAAATGTGATAATTTTAATTAGTACCCATTCTTTACTATCCACAGATGAGAGAGTACAGCCTCTAAGGTGTAGGTGGATACTGATTTAAATAGACAAAGAAGGAATGCATTTTAGTAAAAGGAAGAAGATATTTTTTGATTGACAGTTCTTGGAAAAAGGTTAAAAATTCAAAAGAAGTGACTGCAAGCAGCTCAGTAGCTAAAAGCTTTTTTCTCTTCCCATCAGAAGAGCAGTCTCAAGTAATAACTGGTTGCCATGGAGATACAAAACTAGAGAAATCAGAGAACTCAATTTGCAGTTAAATGGGCTGGAAACAATCCTTACTACTTAAAGAGATTAAAAATGTACATGATCGCCAGAGGGAATCTTTTTAACCTAGCATTTCCCAACCTCATTAATGAACCAGAAATCTAAAATACCATATGAAAATCCATGATGTCCACAGATTAAGCCCATTAAACATAATACAGAATTTCAATATTGCAAATCTTTCCTAGTTTATATAACTTTGATTCTTTGTAATAGTCTTGCTAATAAATACTGGAATGAGGCTAAATTGTGTTCAAGAACAAACTAACTGAGGGGACTGGAATCAATGGGAAAAAGAGCATGGAAAAAGAAAAGTACCAGAGTAAGAACAGATTCAGGTATGAAAATCCTGGGTCTAAAAAAATCTCTTCACAGTCAATGATAGAAATACCTTTGTGAGTGCTGTAAAGAGCTGCAAATGTAACCATGAAGAAAGTTGTGGAGTATTTTCCAGCATTAACTAAATGAGGAAAGGCCCTTTTTGTATCTCGGTATCGGCGCAGGCACTGGATGAAACGAAGCCAAGCAGGAATGCACTGAACGACGGCCCGCACACCATATACATATTTATGGCAAAATTCTGTGTCTGTGAATATTTCAAAGAAGAAATAATTACAAAAAAAAATAACTTGTTCACATCATCTAGTCATATAACGAAACACTAGCAAGTCCATAAAAAGCAAGGAGACAGAGCTTAGAAGCACTCTCTTCTATTACATTTTTGAAATTCTTAAGTTGTAGGTAAACAGGAAAAATACTTAAATACACTAGATGGCAATAACTTTCTTTAATGCATATAAAATACTAGAAAATAGAAGGTGAATATATTAATCTAAAGGGGAAATACCTGGTTAGCTCAGTAATTTGAAACATCTGGAAAACCTCCGCTATAAGCTAATATACTCCAATAGGCTGTTCATGCTCTTGTGCTCCTCTTTTTTCCTTTACAAAGGAAAGTTAAGTCTGTATTTTTAAATGAGAAGACTGGAATTGGCATATCAAGTTTTCTTCAAATTCTAGAGTAGTATTGTAGTGTGATCAGTTTTAGCAGCATTATGATATGCTAGCAATCATTGAAAATTTGCGTTGGCACCAGTTTTGTTAACTTTTGTTACTCAGGTAAGACATAACCTATCTAAGTTTGGCCTCTGTCACTCAGGTAAAAATTCCTTAACACCTTAAACTCCTGGCATAAAAAAGAATGGGAAAAAGAACCAGAAGAAAAACAAGGCCTCCTATAATGAGAATCAAAAAAACAATCTACAATGGCTTTCAAAGCATTTTATCTAATGCTAAATTATCAGTACTTCTGATTAAAAGGCAATACTTGGCACTAAAACATTTGTGATATAGCTACCAAAGTTCTTGAACTTTTTTTTGCTTTAAAGTTGAAAGTTTCTTGGCAAATCATTGCATATCACTTAAGAGCCAATTTATATCAGATATAGAGACAGCTAAAAGAAGCCAAGCACATTTAATTAAGTTTGCAATATTATTGGATGCATTTTCACCATGAACTTCAATTTCTCAGTTATCATTCCCAGTATTTCCTGCTTTACATTGGCAGTTTAATAGTGTGGATGCACATTCATACTCTACCTGCAAGTGATTCAGCTGGAAAAAGGCCTTTACTTTCTTCCCATTTGAGCTCAAAACTATAGAAACAGATCATATATTCCAGGTCCATCAGTATCACCGAAAGGCTGTTGAGCTGATCAGCTAGCCAGAAATCAGCAAAGCCTACCTTATGGAAAGGGGCTGTAAATACTCGAAACTGAGAGAAAGAAAAAAATTAAAAAGTACAGCAACAAGAAAATTCATTTTAAGTTTCTCTAATTCATATATGACAATACAACACAATTACTGTAGCTGATAAAATGGAAACCAATGAAACAATCATAAATATAGAGACCTGGCAACAGTGGCTATTAACAGTGAGAAATAGCAGAATTCAATCAGAATTATTGGTGAAGGGAATGAGTTGAATAGATTAAGTAAGGAAGGAAATAAAAGGTTGGTAGCAGGGCGGGAGGTAACAATAGTTACAGTTAGGAAGCAGAGAGGTGCCAAGAGCTGTGTGAAGAGCAGAAGAATGTAGAACCACTGAGGACATCTAGTGTTGGGTTCTACGACAAATTTTTCTGGAGACCTATAGGATATGATAATTTTCTGGACTGTTCCACGTTAGCTAAGATGGGAGCTTAAATTAACTGAATCTTAAAACTCTTCTTTGCCTATACAGGATTAGGAAGGGAAGTACTCTACACTGTCTTTTTCTCTTATCAGTCACTTTCATTTAACTAATGCCATGGGGATAAATAGAATTTGTCTTGAAATTATGCCATAAAAAGAAGCCCACATCTCACTAATAAGAAAACAATGACAAATTATTTCAGGTTCCTTTTATTGAGTATCAACCCATTCTGTGCATTCTTCCCGTAATGCATTTCTCATAACCCATTAACCTAACAAATCTATGAGCTAGGTACTCTTCCTATCCCCATTTTACAGAAGACTCATCCTAGTGTATTATGTGGAAAACTGTATACTACTGAAAGGGAATTCTGACACTGAAGTGGGGGAAGGATTAGATTTGAATGCAATCGCCATTAGGGTCAAATTGTGTTGAATGCCTTGAAAGGCCCTGAAAGAGGCTATAGAATTAAGACAGCCTTATTTAGTACTTGTTCTATTATAATATTTCTATCTTACAAAGATGAAAAAGGATACCTAAAACACATTAATTTCACTAAGTAGCAGTTTTGAGAAAATGAGTACAAAACCTGCATCTCCTTTGCCTCCCAGCAATATTAACTTAGTAGATGTGTTCACCCTGGAGCCTTTGGTGCTCTTCTCTCAGATTTCACAGGTTCTTACTATTTCTGTTCTTTTTCTTAATATTTCTCTTTATTATTTCAGGGAGACAAATGGCTAAATTATGACCCAGTTTCTGGGTGTCATGTCGCATCTATGACAGAAACTGCTTGAAGCTTTGGACAAGGTATCTTCAGGACACAGTAGGAACTATGAGAACTTATTTTCTGGAGCTGATATATTTTGAGTACCTTGCTTGATCTCTTATCATGCTCTTAATTGTTTCAATAAATTGTGCAACAGTTAGAGAAACAAGCGACCATAAGCTCCAAGTACAGCCAACTCTTGTTATTCATGGGGTACAAGGCAGGTGGCAGGGGTTACATTCTGCTACCAGTTCATACATTATTTAAAGAAAACCTGTAGTATCTAATGGACTTCAAAGAGACAAAAGCAAGAGAATAATTTAGGTATAACACTAATGGGTCGGGATGTCTAACTCAATGTTTAGTCATGAACTGTTGTGAAATTTTTAGCCTAGGACAAACGTCCACTTATTAACGTGGCCAGATAACCATCACACAATCTGCTAAACCCAGCCTCAAAACCTAATTAATACAGAAAACTTCCATAAAAGAAGAATGTGTTAGATAAGAAACAGAGGTATGGGACTGGAAACGTAAGGGAGTGGAGATGAAAAAAAGAAGAAAGGAGGGAATTGTAAATGTTGGTACACTATGACTGATGAAGAAGATTATAGTTATTAAGTTATTTAACAAAGAATCTTTACTGTATGTTGACACTGTAAAGGCACAGAGATTAAACAAAACATAGTCTCTACTCTCAAACACCCAGTTTGGTTGGGCAAATAAATGCCTAAAAAAAAGTTATAGTACCATGTAGTAAGGGTGCTAGTATAGATATGCACAAAATTCAAATACCAACAAGGGAGCATGTAAAAGTTTGGAGATAAGGTGTGTGTGTGGGGGGGGGGGGCAGAAAACAAAGAAATCATACTTAACTTCCATATACTTACACATTATCATCTTAAATTTATTTGAATTCCCTTTTCTGAATAATTTTTTTCTTATTCTGGCTAATACCTTTCAACTTCTACCTTCTTATGACTTTGATTAAAATGGTAAAGAAAAACTGAATTTCGGTAGTAAAAAAGACATACAATTCTGGGTCTCTGATGTTTAACCTACAGAAAACCACTGATAGGTAATTATAAAGGTGACATGCTAATAACATCTGAGTAAATGCACATAAACCGTTAGAATGAAGTTTTAATTTCTGTGTTTTACAGACTTATCAACAAGCAAATTTTCCTAAATTTGGCTTTTATATTGCATTCGTTTGTTCCACTAAAGTCAAAGTGAAAATATCTTAACGTAAACAGTAGGTATAACTTAAGTGTTGTGTTTAAATTAGGGAGTCAGATTACCTAGACTCATATCCCAGATTGCTTACTGGCTGTGTGACCTTATTTAACTTCTTTGAACCCATGTTTCCTCATTTATAAAATGTGAATTAATAACAGCTCCAATCTTATAGGTCATTAATTAATAAAATGTCTATGAATAGTGTATTAAGTGAGAACATTTATCATTAAGCATCTAATCTTACAGTAGAGACATATAAAACTGTTACTATATAACTGAAAATACTGGAAAAATCTATTTCAAATTACATAGAACAGGACTCTACGAACTAAGTAAGAAGAGTTGATACTTTTTTAGATAATCTGAGACACTTTACAATTCCTAGCAGGATTTCCTATTAAGACAATACAGATCTGGGGAGAGAATGCATGTCCTAATCAAAGTAAATGTTTGTACTAATTTAACATATGCCATTCATATAAAAATAAGTCAATTTTTTTATGA